AAGAAAATTCCTTGTTGATGGCTCAGATCATATTTACTGTTACCTAGCCCTAGATTGGGATGAAGACTAGACTTGAGATTTCTCTGGTATGAGAAGCTCCAGATGAGGAACTCCCTCTATTAACTTCTCTGCAACTTAGAGTCCAGAGCAACTGAGAGGTTAAGTGATTTCCCTAGGGTCACACAGCCAGTATGGGTCAAAGGTGGGACTTGAATCCATACCTTCTTGGCTGCAAGGCCAACCCTCTGGCCATTGTACCACACTGTCTTTAGATTAGAGGTACTTAACCTTGTGAGCTTATTTAAAAATTTTTTTTGATAACTAAATTTCAATTAATTTCCTTGGTAATCCTATGTATTTTATTTATTTAAAAATATTTTCCTGAGAAGGGAGTCTATTTGCTTCACCAGACTGCCAAAGGTGTCCATGAGGCAATAAAGTTTAAGAGCCCCTACTCTAGACCTAATAGAATAAAAATGATAGGGCAGGCAACTAATTATTTTAATTAAATATCAGCTTGTTAGGTTTCAAGTCTCAGATCTCCAGGAGCACTTGACAGGGCACCTTCTCTGTTTGCTAACTGCCTTAGAACGCTTCCCTGAGCATTTGCTTCAAACATTTTTTTATAGTGTTTTGCCCTCAGTAGGCCTTCAAGAAATACTTGTTGAATGAATGAATTTCAATAAACCCAATAAATATTACTGTGTGTATTACAGCAAGAAAGGAGGTCTGACTGCCCCATCATGCTTTAAAAAAAAAAAGGCATTCTTTCTCTGTATGGTAACTATTAAACCCAATGGTTGATGTGAGAAATGAAAGAGTTAAGTTTCCACATAAGTAGATAAGAAATTGGCACGACAGGCTAACTTCTTCATGGGGGGGGGGCAGCGATAACACAATTCTAGGCACATAAAGTATGTTAAGGGTGGGGCATATAAGGAAGATTGTAACCCAGAAGGATTAGGACCAATCCTGATCCAGAAGGGAGGAGTTAGGCAATTAATAACTATAAAACTTGCTCTGACTTCTTTTACGAGCACATTTCTCCCCTTCCAAGGAGGCAGGCCCGCTTCTCTCGAGAATTGAAAGGACGCACTTCAACCTCTTTAATAAAAAGTCTTTGAGACACCAGTCTTCGGAACTGATTCTGGGGTCATCTTTATAACATTGATTAATAAGAACAATCATTTTCTACAGTCATAGAGGAAGATAGCAGAACCCAGAAGGACCAAGATTTAGGAGTGCTATAGCACTGGATAAAAGAGTGAAAGGTCATATGGCCATGGTCAGAAGTCATTCTGAAAAGTCCGTTTTTATATTTGTAAAATGAAGATAGTAATACTTATACTACTAATCTTTCACAGGGCCAGTTTCGTAATATTTTGTGAAAGGGCTAGATAAATCTAAATTGTTCTTATTATACAAGCTGTCCCAAAAGTCTCGGTGCAGAGACATCACCTTGTCATCAAAGATCTGTATAGTCAAAGCTATGATTCTTCCAGTAGCAATGTATGGCAGTAAGAGTTGGATTATCAGGAAAGCTGAGCCTGTATTTTATAATTCTATGCATTTATAGATGATAAAAGACCACCTGCAATTAGCACTTACATGGCACACAAAACCCACTCCCTCCCATTGCTCCTATTGTAATGAGATCAATTGACTTTTAACCCGAAATCCCAGGGGATGGGCAGTTGAGTGTATCATGTAAGAGAGGGGGACAAAAATATCTTCTTCTCCCTCCTCAGCCAGTTATCTTAAATCTGTTGTCATATCTTATCATTTCCAACTTCACAACATCTGTTATGTATTTCTCTTTAGACTCTCTTATACAGGCTTTCATAACCTCTGGCCTCCTGAAATAGCTTTTTAATTGGGTCTCGCTGACTCAAGTCTCTCCTCACATCAATCTGAGCTGCTGAAGTGATTTTCCTTAAAGCGGGTCTGATCATGTCATCCCTGCTCCCCCAGTAAGTTCCAGTGGCCCCCTATTATTTCTAGGACCAAATACTGAATGTTCTGTTTGGCACACATGGCCCCTTTCTATCTTTCTAGTAATCTTAAACTTGACTCCCCTTCACCCTCTCCCTTCCACAAATTCTGATACAGCTACACTGGTCAACGTTCTGTTCTCCCTTCTCTCCGCCTTCACGCTGGAGATCCCCCATGCCTGAAATACTCTTTCTCCTTACACCTCTGTGGCTTCCTTCAGACTCGCTCAGATCCCACCTTCTGCAGGAGGACTTCTGATCTTTTGTCTGTCCTCTCAGATGACCTACATCTACTCTGTATATATGCTGTATATACCTACTTATTTACACGCTGTCTCTCCTATTAGAATGTAAGACAGGCTAGTGTCCTCACCAGTCAGCTCTTCCTGAGCCCCAAAGCTGCGAATGACGCCCCCCCCCTCATTCCCTTGTATGTACCTATATATATAACTGTTGTCTTCCCAGATTGAATGTAAACCCCTTGAGGGCACAGGAACTGTTTCTCTTTTGTCTTTGTTTCTACAACACCTAGTACTGCTTCTGGCACACAGAGGTGCTTAATAAATTTTTGTTGACTGACTGATAGAATCTGAAGTTGTATCAGCAGGACACAGCAACTATCTCTATAACTGGTGATACTACATAAAGTGCATGCTTTGGAAAGGACATGGGTATCCTGGATGGGATATAGAGGAAATCTGCGAAAGTCATCTGAACGCTAAACGACTATGGAGAGCAATTAGAAAAACAAAGCCTTTTCAATCTAAGGGGGATGTGATAACTGCCCTTGGTAGGTCAAAGGATATTTTAGGTGGGGACAGTGATTTCTTCCATAGGTACCAAAGGAAGATAAGAAAATAAAGACGACCTCATTTCTCTGACTTCCACAGAAAGTCCACCCCACAAGCCAGGGGCTATACCGTTTATGTCACAAGAGAAAGTCGAAGCCTATCTCAAACTGCCATGGTGAGAAATTTCTTCAGATCATCTGGACGTGTGAGCCATTTCCCAGGAGACACGACTTCTTCGTTCAGAAGCACAGCATCAGGGCATGTCTGGGAAATGCCACAGCAGGACATGTCTGGGAACTCAAACTGCTCGGCATTATGGATAACAAAATTCCCTGTCACCAGCCCTACCATCTGTTCTCCTCATTTCCATCAATGTTGCCATAAGCAGATTCTCCTGAACATATTTTCAACTGGTCGAGGTCCCTGTTGCATCAGCCTCTGCAGACTGGGTCAGCACAAATCTCCAAGCAGCATCTGTAGCCAATCCCAGAAGATATAATCCCATTGGGACATGGGGACTCAGTGCTGTAATATTTGAACAATAAAACCACTGCAGCCAGATATACTTTCGCTGCAGAAGGGCTGTCTCAATTCACTGATTCTCGGAGATTTCCCTCAAGCAGAATATCCACATCCAAACCCTGGCAATTTCCTCGAAGAGACACAGAAGCCAGGCATTGGGGATGGCCAGGGCAAAGGCGTGGGGATAGGAGAGGAGGAGTGTCATGTGTGAGGGGGAGAGAGAAGGCCAATTTGGCTGGATCAAAGAGCCTGCGAGAGGGAGTAAATACGTGGTAAAGCTTTAGGAAGATAAGTTAGGGCTAGATTGTGAAGGACTTCAAAAGCTAAATAGAGGAATTCCTATTTTATCCTAGAGACAATAGGGAGCCACTGGAGTGTACTGAGCAGGGCACATAATCAGATTTATGCTTAAGGAAAATCACTTTAGCAGCAATGTGTAGGGTGGCCTGGAGTGAGGAGAGACTTGGGAAGGCCCATTAGGAGGCCATTTTGAAAATCTGAGGACCTAAGCTAAGGTGGTAGCTGTATGAGTAGAGAAAAGAGATTGGATTTCAGAGACACTGTAGAGATATAAATGGCAAGATCTGGCAACTGATTGGATATGGGGAGTGAAGGAGAGTGAAGACTCAAGGATAATACCAAGGTTGGGAACCTAGGTGGCAGAAATGGAAGATTGAAAGAAGGAAGGATTTAGGGTGGAGGGGGACAAAAGGTAATGAATTCCATTTTGGACATATTTGGTTTGCGATGTCTCTGGGAAGTACCAATTTAACCTTGATTAGGTGCGCCCTAGAATGGGTAAGGGGTTCCAGACCTGCTTGCCCTGTCCCATGACCCTGATATTGCTCTCAGGAGAGGGTTGGAGGGCTCTTTGGCTCTAAGGCATCGTGACTTCCCATTTCAGTATTCTCTAAGCTGTTTGTCAGTGTTGCCAAGGGGAAGACATAGTCTAAATAGGATACAGATAGGATTTGCACAATAAAGACCAATAAAAAAGATCATCACCGAAAACAGGAAAAGAAACAATAGAATCGTCCTAAAAGGTCCTATGGTAGTATTCCTACCCTCATTGGCTTCTCACCAACTACAAAAAACTTAGTATCTCACTCATGACCCTCTACAACCATCTCCAATCTATATTTCCAGTCTTATATAAAAGTAATCCCCTGTGCCTCAGTCAATTTGGCCTATTCAGCATTTCCTAAATGGGCTTTTCTGCCTTTGCTACTTGTGTTTGTGCCATTTCCTCTGTCTGGAGTACCATTCTAAACCCTTTCCATATATCAAAGTCTTACTGATTCTTTGAGGTTCAATTTGAATGGTCTAGTTTCTGACATTACCTCCATTTTGTCTTTTCTTGACCAACCCATTTATAATGCCTCTCCCCATCCCTATGAATGCCAGAGCACTCAATTTGTTCCTCTCAAGGTGGGTACTTATCATTCTACCTTGTACTTCAGTTGTTCATTTGTATACATGTCTTAGCTTCCCTACTAGATTACAAACACAGTGAGGGCAAGGTTAGTACCTGGCATATCCTTGAACCATGTACAGTACTATACTAGCACAGTGCCTCACACGCGGTAGGCACTCAATACCTACTGAATGAACAAAGGTGAACTTATGTGGCTTTCTCTGTTCTAAACTCTTCATTTGCAATTCAATCTGGCATCTCTACAGTAATGACATTTCAACTTTAACTTCTTTCTTCTACTAAATCTGAAGGTGGGGGAATGAGATCTCTGGGATTCATCTTGGCCACAAGGCAGACATCGTAGTTGTCATGCATGAGGACATCGATGGCTACGACATTCCACTGATTTTCCCACGGGTCCAGCTCCAAGATTTCCTTGGAGATAATTTCATGCCGATCTGAAAAATAGTGAAAGGTAAGATAAAGTGTTACTGGTTTTAGCCAAATTCATTAGATCAAATTTTAAAACAAATGTAGTCCTCTTCATGAAAATTACAGTCTAGTGGGGGTCATATTTTAAAATTTATGGTGACACTATGCACATGGTCTAGGGGTTACAATGGGAACTCCCCTTGATCTGTTATAAGGCCTGGGCCACTTCCTGGGAACTGAGCATGAAATCTGGTCCCTTCTGGTGGGCCACCTGCTAAAACACATGTACAATTAGAGGCTGCTGCACATAGGTCCCCACAGGAAAGGGCCACCCCCTTCTATCCCCAAAACAGGGGTTATATCAAAGATAATTGGCCACTGAGATTGGCCCACTTACTGGATTTTAAGAAATTTTAAAAGTGCTTGTTGGTTAATTGATCAATGGATTCCTGAAATGTTATATGGCTGTCAGTCATGGAATCTGAGTTTCCAAGGAAATACAGTTGAGGATAACCCAAAGGATAATGAAGAGGCATATGGTGGGGAAAAGCAGGCTACAACACATGACAAATACAATCTTACTCAAGAGGCATGGGTGAAGTATGGAATCTGAGAAATACACAAGTAGAAAAAACAATGAGCAAGTTATATAATAAGAGCAAGGAATAACTGATGGGAAGTTTGTGTGATGCATTGGTATTTATGTATTATGAAAAGAATTCAAGAATTTTATGTGTTGGGAACCAATATCCCAAGGGCACAAAATGAGGGAAGTGTGTGATCTCTTTGGGGGACAAATAGGAAACTCAGTGCGGCTGGAATTTAGAATATGTGAGGGAGAAGTGTGTGAGATAGAAACAGGAAGCTAGGTTTGAGTCTGTAGACTGGAATGGATTCACTTTAGTCATTTTTCACCACTTTCCCATCTTTCCCCTTTTCACCTTAGTTTCTATTTATTACTGCAGCTGACCTTTTTTTTTTTTTTTTTTTGGTCAAGTGGCTGTTTTGCTTTGTTTTTGAAATGAAAGCCCCTGGCATTTTTCTTCCAAGAAACACTCTTTTGGATAAACCTAGTTTATCTATAAAACTCATTTTATCTCCTTGGGTAATGTTTTCTTACACCCTTCATGTGGCTAGGTTCAGTTCTCTCAGTCATTCCAGGGAAGTTGGAGTAATGCAGGTTTCATCCCATTTTCTCCTTTGTCCAGCCTCCTCAGATGCCACCAGCCTGTGTGTGAACCCACCAAGGAATGTCATTGTGCTTTGGAAGCAGCCTGGATAGGGCCAGGTGGTGGGCGCACCAGAAATTGCTTGTACTGGCACGGGGCTACATGCCCTGCCTACCACAAAGCCAACAAGCCCAACCACATAAAGTCAGGAAAGGCTTTCCTGCAGCCCACCCAGCTTTTTCCCTGGGCCAGGGGAAGATGACATGGAGAGCTCTCTTTCTCTCTCTCTCTCTCCCTCTCTCATTCTCCCTCCCTGCCCCCCCCCAGCTTTCTGTAATGAAGGCAAATGACTCCCTTATATACTTGGCACTGTGCCAGAGCTCAACCCCAGCTGAAGCAGTTCTGAAGCAGTCTCTTTATTCTGTTCCCTGGCAGCCCAGGGATTCTGCCTAGTGCTGCACTGAGCCTGGGCCCTTCTAGTATGGCCTCCTTCTCCGACCTTCTATATCCAATATTATATCTATATTCAGTCAGTCAGTCAATAAACATTTATTAAGCACCTATTATGTGCTAAGCACCGGGTATACAAGGAAAGGTTAAAGACAGTCCTTTCCCTTGAGGAGCTCACAGATTAAGACAACATGCAAATGACTCTGTACAAACAAGCTATATACAAGATAAATAGGAGATAATCAACTGTGGGAAGGCATTAGAATTATGAGGGATTGGGAAAACACCTGTAGAAGGTCAGATTTTATCTGGGACTTGATTGTGGCCAAGGAAGCCTGGAGGTGGAGATGAGGAAAGAGAACATTCCATGCATAAGATACATTCAGTGAAAAGTCCAGGAGTTGGGAGATGCGGTGTCTTGTCTGCCCAGCTAACTAGAAGCAGCTCGGTGGTGTAGTGGATAGAGCACTAGGCCTGGAGTCAGGAAGACCTGAGTTCAAATCTGACCTCAGAAACTTATTAGCTGTGACTCCGGGCAAGTCACTTGTCTGCCTCTATTTCCTCATCTGTAAAATGGCGTTAATAATAGAATCTTCCTCTCAGAGTTGTAGTGAGGATCAAATTGATATAATATTCATAAAGCACTTTCCAAACCTTAGAGAGTAATGTAAATGATACCTGTTATTAACTAATCTGGGTTGATACAAACCTGATACCCTTCCTCCTCTGATACCTTTCTTCCCCTCCTTTGAAATGCATAAAATATGTCTCAAGCATCATATTGATCCTACTCACTTGTCCCTTAAATATCTATTGACTTATTCAGCTGCCTAACATTTACTTCTGGTAATTTATTAAAACCTTAATTTTAGGGGTCCATGCTAGACGACAGATGAGCACTGTTAGCATGTTTATTAACTAACATAACACTCTGTTATTAGCTACTGATCATTACCAGGTGATAAAACCTACACCATGTACAACTCCCTCTACTTTCCCTCCCTACCCCATCCAGGGAAGTTCTTATCCTTATCTTTCAGAACTTCAACTTTTACTTTTTTATGGGCAATGAAAAAATAAGACGAAAGATCATCATTCAGTATCATTTCCACACGGAGAGCTTGGCTTTGATTTGTGAATCAGTGTGTCACATGGCCATGTCCAAGGGCAGAGTCCAGTCCTCAAACCCATGGATCCTTTCTCAGATTTATCAATGGATGACTAATTCAAAGAATAGTGCCCAGATGTTGGGAGAACTTTGGACACTCACTGCTTTTAACCCAAATTAGGTAGAGCCATTTCAGTGGGTGTCTTGGATACCAGAGAAATGATTTATCTTTTCATTCTACATCCTCCAATGTTTCAATTGCAGCGTTCGCTGGGCCAAGCTCCATCATACAGCATGTCTAAATTTAATTTGTTTTCAGTAATGTACGATAACTACTCTACTCTATATACTTTCATATGTAAATCACATCGTGGATAAGACTAGAGGAGAGCAAACTTTTATGGGAGATTAGTCAAAATAAATAACTTCTAACTCTGCCAGTGTCAGAAAAGGATGCTTCTGAGCTGCAAACTTATTAGGTCAGCAGGAAGATGGCAATAACAACATTTTCTTATACATTTGCAAGTTAAGAGATGTCCCACTTTTTTTATTGGCTTCTGACGGGACAATTTATATAGATGATGGCAGAAGATAAATATACATATATATGTATATATACACACACACACACACACATATACACACACACACACACACACACACACACACACATATATATATATATATACATATATACACCCCGTTAGCTGTTGGCAGACATACCTGTATATGCACATTTACTTATTTACCTTTGCAGAAGGATCCACATTTTCAGCCTAGAGGAGGTATGTATTCTCAGATCTCTTTTAAATAGTCTGTCCCATATGAAGGTTGGATTGAATGATCTAAGATCCCTTAAAGCATTAGCATTTTACAATTCAAAATATCCAAATGGAGCCTGACACTTCTGTGTTTTGGGATTTGCCACATCTGGTGAGGGGCCTCAAAGAAAGCTTTCCTGTATCTTAGACAAAGTTTATTATCAACTATCTGGTAGATGGTAATTAAAACACGCCCTACTTTGGGGCAGTGGTTTGGGGCTTTCATTGGCACACATGTAACTTATCACAAAATACTCATATGCCATGAAGAATGAGATTTTCTGGCACTAAAAATGTGCATTGATAAAAAGAAATATTAAGAAATACCCTATATTTCATTCCTTTATCTGGTGTGAGCTAGGCAGGTCTCTACCTTGCCTGATTCTAGTCCTGATTCTTGATGGGATGCCTCTGTTAAAAAGGATCCCAGGTCTAGTTACACAACCTGACTTCAACCCAATTCTGGAGGGCGCTAGGGGTCCCTTGGACTTTCTTGCATATAGATTTAGATCCAGAGATATGGCGGTTTACATATCACCATGAGTGAGTCTTCTACTAACTAGTACCACATATGAAAGTGATTATGGATTCAGTTCAGGATCTTGGACAAATGAAGTCACCAATGATCCCCTTACTAGAATAGCTTATGACTTCTGGAAGCAGTTTCTGGAAGGTCCTGGATCTTTGGAGGCTCCAAGTATCCCAGTTCTGAGGATCTGCCACCCAAAGCTTCTTGACTTGGCTTTCTAGGATCCCCTAGATTCCCAGTGGTCCTCAGTGCACGCTGAAAGCAATCTTCAACTAATATGATGCCACAAGGAGTAAGTGGGGTCTCTACCATGTGTCTATCTCTTTGTGCCACAGGGAAAAATTGAGGAATCCTAATTACACTCCCCAGGGGAGATGACCAACTGATGTTGATGATGATACACAACAATGAATTCCATAACTACTGAGCAAAACACAGATAAAGTGACTGCTAATGTAATAAACAGTACAATTGGCATTTTTATAACAAGATGATAAATAAAAATGGCAAATAAAAAATAGGAATATAATATTACTAGCCCTCCAGAAAGGAACAAGAATCAGAGAGCTTGGTTTCATTTTTTTGTCTTTATATCTCCAGTGTCTTGTACATGGTAGGCATTTAATAAATGTGTGTTGAATTGAATGGAATTAAACTCTTAACTGAAAACGACAGTATTGTCTGCATTGATCAAATGAAATAATATTTGTGAAGTGCTTAACATAGTGCGTGGCACATAGTAGATGCTTAATAAATGTCTATTTCTGTCTGCCCCCTTATTTTCCTTTGTCTGACCAGTATAGTTAGAAGCATTCACAAGGTGAATGTCTCTGTACTTTGACCCATTGTTTCAATTGTGTCCGACTCTTTGCGACCCATTTGAGGTTCTCTTGGCAGAGATACTGGAGTGGTTTGCTCATTTGAGGTTCTCTTGGCAGAGATACTGGAGTGGTTTGCCATGTCTTTCTCCAGGTCATTTTACAGATGAGAAAACTGAGGCAAACAGGGTTAAGTGACTTGCCCAGAGTCACACAGCTAGTAAGTGTCTGAGGCCAGATTTTTGAACTCAGGAAGATATCTTCCTGTTTCCAAGCCCAGTGCTCTATCCACTGAGCTACCTAGTCTCTGTACTTACCAAATTGTAAACTCAATTAGCAAGTCAAGGCTGTCATACTTCCACCAGAAGTCAACTGCTAATGTGTAAAAAACATTTTTCAGAAGGAGATATGTTATTTCATGTTATGAATTGTACATTCCTGTCATGTTTGCTTTACTAGTCAGTCAGGCTTATATTGACTAAGTATTTGTGGAATCAGGAGTCTAGATCTGTCTTATGCTTCTAGAGTTTGACATTACTGCAAAGGGTGAAGGATAGGCTAGACATTGCTCTCCTAAAGGACCATGGGAAACTTTACTACCTCGAGGCAGCACAGAAAGTCCCTGCTCAATGTACTGCAAACAAAGTCTATTAAAGTTACTTATTTTCTGACTGTTCTAGTTACAGCTCTGTCACTGCTCCAGTGACTCGACTTTGAAATCCCTTCATTTTTCTTCCAACTAGACATTACCTTACTTATCTATTTGTCTCACTATTTTAAAAAGATCCACTTTGGTCAGCTTAATGGCAAGCTTGGTTATGGCACCTGTTAATGTATCTCATTGAGCCTTTTCCTTGAAACTGTACAAAAGAAAGGAATACCTGGAACTTCTAGAGCATTCAGTCAGTTCAGCAACATATTTAAGTAGGGACAATGTAACATGGCAGAAAGAGGGGTAGACTTAAGGATAGAGGACCTGGTTTTGAAAGCAGCTCTGCAAATTACTGCCTTTCTGACTTGGGCAAGTCACTTAACCTCAGTTTCCCAAAGTAAAATGAAGAGGTTGGATGAATGTTTCAGGCCTCCTTCCAGCTCCAAATCTATGATTTTACGAGGCATTAAGCATAAAGATATATTTAAAAATAGAAAACCATGGGATGATATATAGAGTAGATATTTGATCAGTATTTGCTGAATAAATGAAGGTTTATTGCCCCCTCCCCCCTTTATCCTAAAGCAAGTGTAAATGAGATAGATTTATAGGGGACTAAGCAATTTCCACAGCCTAAAGCACACAGAGGAACAGCTCATAATATTTATAATAATTTGGACAACATGGATTTTTCAAACCCCATAGAAGAGGTCAGATTCCAGAAGAGTCAACCACTCTTATTGAAAGACTTCAGGGAAGAGAGTTTTCTATAATTAGACATGAACAATAATGAGAGAAATGATGATTAATAACCAATATCTTGGCGATATTCAGAGCTCTTCTAAATTCCTCAATTAATTTTAATTTAAAATTTAAAAATTTTTGAATTTTAAAAAGTTAATTTTTTAATTTTTAAACATTTTTAAAAGTTCAGTTTCTTGAAGGACATTACTGATAATGGGATTGCATTAAATCTCCTCATCTTGGTCAGATCCCACCCAACCTTACAAAGAATTTAATCTAAGGTAAGGAAGCTCATTGGGTTCTACTCAAGCTTGGGTGGAGATAGATCCTTTTGTCCTGATAGCCTAAGGCTGAGGTGGTCTGAGTATAGAGATATTTTTGACAAGATATCATACTTAGCTCCACATTGAACATCCAAGGGTATATAAATTGTGAGCCACTGCCATGATTATTTTTGTTCTAAGATTGACCATCTTAGATGGTCACCAAATGACCATCCTTTTATTAATAACTTGCTGGCCTTATTAATAAACTGTTTAAATTACCCAGAAACTGTCTCTCGAACCTTTTTAAACATTACAATATTAGCTAAAAGTTACTGAAGAATCATGAAAGAACTGACCTACCTGTATAGAGACAAGACTATATATCACCAAGGAGATAGATTAGGATGAAGTCAATGATTCCAGCTCCACAACATTTCCTGAACGCATATAGTTCCAAGTTCAGGCTCTTAACACTTCTTACCTGGATGATTACACACAATGGCCTCCTTGCCTCCATTCTCTTCCTTTTTCAATCCATCCTCCTGATCAGTCAATCAATCACTAAACATTTATTAAGCATCTACTATGCACCAGGAACATTTACTAAGCACTAGGGATACCAAAAACGTCAAAAGACCGTCCTTGCCTTCAAGGACCTTACAGTCTCATGGGGGAGACAGCATGCAAACAAATATATGCAAAGCAAATATAGGACAAATAGCAAATAAATAACTGAGCAAAGGCCTCCATATGGCTGTGAAATTGATATTTGTAAAGCATAGGTCTGATCTTATCACTGCCTTGCTCAGGTAGCTTCAATGGCTCTCTGATGCCTCTAGGATAAAACAGAAACTCCTTTATTGGTATTTAAATACCTTCACAATCTGGGTCCAGCTAATTTCCCCAGACTTATTTTACATAATTTCTCCTTATCCATGATACATTTCAGACAAACTGTCCTAATTCCTATTCTCCATACACGGCAGCCCATATCTACCTCTTGCACGATTCATCTCCCGTGCTTGATTACTCTCCCCTCAAAGCTTAGCCCAAGTACCAGTTCTTACCCTAGGCCTTTCCTTATCCCCGATTACTTTGTGTTTATTCTTTTTTATATGTAACCAGTCTTTCAAGCAAGCCTGGGACATTTTGTATTCAAACAGCCTTTAGAAGGAGATGGACTCCAGACTGATGGAGAAAAAGCTGAGGAGAATGCTGCATGTCTTTGTAAGGGATGTGATTGGTTGCTGAGCTTCTCGGAAGAGAGACACTGTGTACTTCCAGAGAGTCTTTAGGGGAAGGGTACAAGGACAGAGGACCCTCCAGGAAGCGGAGAAGAAAAGACTTTAGAAGCTACAGACATGTAGGCTCCTCTACACGTCCTTGATTTTCAGCTCATATCTAGAGACTTTAGAGAGAGAACCTTCATGCAGCGGGAAGGAGAAAAACCTGATTTCCTTCCCGAGGTAGAGCAACACTCTCAGTTACTGATGTAAAGCCCAGCTTGCTTCTTTCCTTCCTTCCTTCCTTCTTTCCTTCCTTCCTTCCTTCCTTCCTTCCTTCCTTCCTTCCTTCCTTCCTCAATGCCCACTGGACTTTCAGGACCTGTTTATGTTGCTCTGCCATGGGCCTAGGAACCTTGCTTTTACTTATTTGGACAAACCGACTACCAATATACATACTTGCCATGCAATGTTTCTATCAGGCCTTGTAAGAAAGTTGTCCAACTCTTAAGAAAGTTCTCCGAAGAACAAGTAGAAAACTTTCCAGTTACAATTATATTTGGTTATGAATTCATTAACATGAACATGAGCATATAAAAAGGCCCTGCCTTGTCCCTAGTCACAGGGATCTTATCTGGCTCTGTGCCAGAACATAAGTGTTTCTGAGGCATGTTTTTCATAGATATGTTAGCACAGTGCTCCTCTTAGCGAGGTTAGAATTAAACAGTTAGTCATCCTGAATATAGCGACCTCATTTACTGATACAACCAATCAATCTTTTGAGCTTTTTGCTTACTAGATTTACGCCCATTTTAAAACCTGAGGGTTACATTGAGAAATTGGACCCATTCTGCAAATACAATGATGGTTCATCCAAATCTGTGCTTTTGTATCATACACAGCAATGCTAAAAATGAGACATTAAAGAATTTAAATTGACGAATAAATAAGTGCATTAGACAGCATTTAAGAACAAGTTTTAAGTAATTTACTGTAAGTGGTAGGGGGAATGAGGATTAAAATAATAATTCTAGAGGGATGATAAAAACAAGTGTGCGCCTGGTCCTTTGAATTCTATTTCTATTGTACAATTTAAGAGAACAAAGGCTCCATTTCGGTAGCACAACAGTGCCATCAGAAACCCATCAGAGTATTCACATTTCCCAACATCTGAGTTAGAGAGGGACCTGTGGAGTGAGGTGAGGCCTCCTTTCCTAGGCCCTTTGCATCTTACTCTCTTCCAAGTACACTCTATGATCCAGTAACTATGGCCTTCATCCTCTAACTCAACACCCCTTTGGCTGTTCCCTATGCCTACAAAGCTCTCCTTCTTCATCTTCACCTCGTGGCTTCCCGGACTTCTTTCAGGACTCAGCTTAAATCTTTCTGCAGGAAGACTTTCCCAGTCCCCTTCAATGAAAGAAACGTCCCTTTGAGACCGCCTTTCATTTATGGGTGTATACCTTGTATGTACATTATGGTTTACAGATTGTCTCCCCCATTAGAATGTGAGCTCCTTGAGGGCAGGCCTGTTTTTGCCTTTCTTTTTTTCCCCAGCACCTTTCACACATAATAATCACTTAATAAGGGGCTGGCTTTATTAATTTATTCAATTTAATAATTAATAATAAAATTAATCCATTAATTTATTAATCACCTAATAAAGGACTGACTGACCGAGTTTCCCTTTTTACCCTAGAGTTCTGAAACTCAGCCCAAGGCAGGCTATGGGCTTGAAAAAGCTTGGTCTCCAACTCCTCTGTAATCCAGAAGTGCCCACCAAACATTACCAGTGTCTGGCCTCCATGCTTTTTAATTTGCTTCCTTTGTTTCTGATAAATTAGATCACGGTGCCAGCCTTGTTTCCCTGGACTGGAAGATCCAACAGGGCCTTGAAGGCTACCCAAAGTCTCCGGAGGTTTTAATGTGAAAGAAGACAATCAACAAGCTATTTCTTGTGTAGGAGCCCTGCAGTCAATGACTTCATTGGGATTCCGCTCCTATGACTGGCCAACTCTGAAGGTTGGGCCATTGTAGCTCCGTGAGAACATTTGCACATACCCAAAAGGTACTTAAACCACCACTGGCACATGAATTTGGAATGCAAAAGCCAGATCATTAAAGCATGAAACATTTTCCATTTTAATCAATACCTGCTCCGTGAAAGCCCCCGCAGACATACAGCTTCCCATCTACTGTTCCTGCATTGGTAGAATTGGTTCGAAGGGACAGCAGGGGGGTTGGCATCGTGGGCCCCTCCCTCCAAAAATCCCCATCTGGATTGTAGATCTCCACAGCATCAAGGCATTTACGAACTTGGCCTTTGTCTCGACCCAGGCAACCGATTCCACCTGCAGAAGATGACATATTGATCAGTGAAATGGCCAAGTACCAAAGGCAAAAACCTCACATTAGGCAGAACACTCTCAGGGAGATTTGTATCACACTCTTAAGCGATTCCTGGTTTGTTTGCTTTTTTCTTTCCTGCCAAGTGCTTACTGGCAAGATGATTTCTAGGGAAAAATTATATCTACTTGTCTAGCTTATATAGTACTTCCTGGCCAAATCTAAACAGAGGTGGTTAAAGAAGAAATAACTTGGCTATACTGGGCAATTTTTGTTCATAGCCTTTCATAAATTCTTCTTAGGAGATCCAGGGGCCTTTCTATAGATCCCTTGATATTATGTGGGTACCAATGGGACATTCAAGCTGTCTGGTGATCACCCTTTGCTTTCATTATGTGACTCCTCAAAACAACCAAGAAGTAACACATAGGAGGGGCAGGGAGAAGATGGCATTGCAATTGGAGACATAGAAGAGGCCTCCACAATATCACCTATGGAATTCTTTTTTATGTTTTAATAAAAAGAAACATATATTTTTATTAACAGTACAGCGATATCGATAGCGATTGAGGAGACCTGCCAAAAATCCTAGCCGTTATATGGAACCAGTTCCCCTCCCTTTTACTTGCCCTTTCAGAAGGGAGCAATATATCTCAATCCAAAGGAAGTCTTATTTGTGGTTTATCCTAAGTTCTCTGTCCAAGGGAGAGAGGGCATCCCGGTCTTATTTGGTGCGACAGCGGAGGTTTCACTTCCTTCCTCATACTTTGTAACATCAGTGTTCATATGAACATGAGTTTGAATTGTTTTTCAAAAGAAAAGATGTTATTAATCTAAAAAAAAAACTAAAAAGCTCACCATCTTTTCTAGATGTACATTTCTCTGATGATATCTTTTATGAATCTTCCTCTGTTTCATTGATAAATAATGTGTTACAGCATACTCATATCTATCATAGGGTTGACCTCCCCATTACTTTTTAGGTGATCTTAAATTCTAGAATTTTTCAGAGATTATTGCATTCTGTGACTTGAAGCCACACGGTATCACCAGATTATTATCATTAAAAAAATGCGCCTCATTCTGAGAGAAGCTTGGAGTTATCCCATGTTCTACCCCTGGCCATCTTGCCTTCCACCTTTCTACCATGCACTTTCTCTGTTCCTCCTGTCCTCACTTTCTTCCTAGCCTCACCTCTTGCTTGGCTGAAACAATGAAATCAATACTACTGTTACTTTAAGTGTATGGGGTCTTCAGGAGGACTAGCACCTCTGGGGTGAGGGCTTGCTGAGCCCTTTTTAGGGCTGCTTATCCACCTTTGGGGTCTACATGTCACTCAACTGTCACCTGTGGCTCTAAGAAGCTGTAGCTTGTTTAGCAGTCACACCCTGGTAAACCTTCTCAGCAGACAGACTAAACTAGGTTGAGGGTAACTGACAGGCCTCACACCTGTCAGTGAGTTAGGGGGATGTCTACTCCAAACACATGAAGACTTTCCCTGGCAGAATGGGCAGATGAGAACAATTTGTTCTAACAGCCACGAAGGCAGCTGAAGTAGGTGCCATGGAGTGCTTGTTGTCTGTCCTTCATTCTCAAAGAGGACCATGGAATCAGGAAGGTGATGTCATGACTTGCAAGGGAATTGGATTTAAGTGAGGGAAGGGTTGTGCAAAGTTACCAGCCTCACTTTCTCCTCTGGAGCCATTTGGGTCCAAGGGGAAGATATAAATCAGCATGACTGGAGATGGCCCTACATGGAGTGCTAAGAGCTTGGTCAGACATCAAAGACTCCAAGCTCATCCACTACATCCCAGGCCATCGCCAGTTATCCTGACTTTTGTCTTGCTACTGGACTTGGATGACTCAGGAAGAGAGAGTGAGGCTGATGGCTTTGTGCAACTTTGCCTCACTTAAATCCAATTCATGCATAAGTCAAGACATCACCCATGATGTCATTAGTCCTCTTTGAAAATGAAGGGCAAATGACTGTTACTTTAAGAAAGGGCTGTGACTTCCCTGAACAAAACTCCCTGGTCACCATGTGTATTCTTCCCTTATTAGAATGTGAGAAAGTCGATTTCTTGAGGACCCCGAATCAAACTCTAATCGGTATTAATCAGTTTGATATAATGGGGGTAGTGATTATAAGTTCTATATATTTGGCCCCAGAGTTGTGAGCTACAGATGGTAAGATCACTTGTGTAAACATAGGAAGCTAGCTAGAGGCCCTCCACCCTTGTTTCTCTTTGTCATGGTGACCAAGCCCAGTGTAGCAGAGGTGACTCAACTACATGGAAACTCCCCCAAAATTATTTTTGTACTTCCAGATCATTCTTTCTTGTCCAACATGAGTAAGTGTCCATCTTATGACCACCTTGTGACCACCTAGTCAGTGGCAATATTCCTTGTTTCATCCAATTTATGACCCTGCTGACAATTATTTTTGCTTATATAAGTCAACCAATGGAATTATTTTGTATCTGGTATAGCTGTTCTTGAATGTTTAGATATCTAAACCTATAAAAATAGGGCCCTGGAAGGAGGGGGCATCTCAGATCATGAGGAAGATCTGAGATCCACTTCATTAGAGGGGACCATGGACCTTTTAATAAAGTGCTATTGGCTCAGAGCTCTGCCTCAGTTTCTTTTATTGTAGGTTGGATAATTTTTATCACCATAAATATAAGGTCTTTAAAGGCAGAGACTGTCTCACATGTGTATTTATATAACATGATAAAAGCTTAACAAATGCCTTTCCATTTATTTATTCATTTATTATTCAAAGTACTGAGCAATTTCTCAAAGATGTCCAGCCTTTTTCTCCCTTCTTGTTCAACTCTGAGTCTAGGTCATGGATAATGATTTGGAGCATTTTTTTTTTCTATATGGCTATTAATATAGCTTGAACTTCTTCCTTTTAAAACTTCCTGTTTAGAAATAACTAATTAAAATTCTTCTAGTATCTTTCCCATATATACTGATAGATTTGTTCTATTAGTGGTCAATCCAATTGTATAGCTTAGTTTGGATGATAGGCATTTTTTATTCAGTTGAATTTTCCTATGTGCATAGTTAACCCAAACTCTTCTATTTCTCATTTAAGAGGCTCTGAAATGTTCTCAGGTCTGATGTGATCAGCACAATGGTATCTGCAAGCAGTAGATTTTAGTAGAGTCCTCTTCTAGAGCACCTCACTATGTATGGTGAAACTCTCTTCTACTTGGACTTTTTGCTGGACATCCTTCATGATTGTGGAAAACACCTTTGGCAAATACACATTTCCTTGTTTTATGTCTTGCTTAATATTAGTAATCAGAAGGTTGTTGAATCAAGTTTCCTCTGTTATTGCATCTTTTAAGGAATCTTGTATAATTTTGATATAAGTATCAAAGATACTCATTGGAAAAGAATCGTTATAAGGTAGCATTTTGCTTTACCAAATCAAAATTTTTTTTGTTTTGTTTTTTAATAATCAACAAATAGTCAGCATAGTAGGATATCTTATATTCTACATGTCCTATTCCCTAGTAGCAATTTTGTGATTTAGAGTTTCAGAAAGGAATCAGACCGATCAGTAATTCATAAAGCAATATCTTTTATTATGAAACATTTTAACTGATGGAAGAGGAGGCTCTAGTCATAAAACAAAATGCCCAGAAGCAGGAGGATAAAGAGGGCAGAGTCAGAGAAGAAGATACAATGGGGGCTCAGTCACCAGAAAAGTCAGTTGCCAGAACCTTGGGTGCATTGGACTGTTGCACAAAGAGATCATGGATCTCTTCCATGGATGGTCTTCCAGAGAGGTTGACCTTGGACTTGACACAATCAGATTCAGCTGTGCTCTTTGACTGTCTTCCTCCTCATTGCTTTGGGACATTTATGTTTACTGAGGACAGCCTTGATGTTTGTGTGGATTATTTTCATAGAAATTTTATAGAGATGGGAAAGTAGCTTTGTGGGTTGGTAGCTATTGATATTTTTGAGGGTAATTATAAGATCCAAGATTTTTTTTTTTGCCCTTAAGCCTTTGGTATTCTTCCGTTCCTCAGATACCTTGACAATCACTCAAAAACCTCAACACCAATCACCTGTAGCACAGACCTCCTTTGTGTATGCTTGATTTAATCCATCTGCTTGCTCCATTTTTGTTTTCTTTACCACCATTTTGACTTTCTTATTGAGCACTATGGTGTTAGAATCCACGTTTGGTGGCACCATCTTTTACATTTTCATCTGGTTGTTGTCCTACTTCCAGTTTATTTCTTACATACTTTTATTTAAAATGACTTTGGTTAGTTGAGTCTTTTACCAAGTTTTCTCACATAAATTTAATTTTTCTTTCTGTTGCTTCTTCATATTTTATGTGGTGCTACTGTTCATAATCTTCTACCATCATCCTCTACAAGCTTTTACAAATGAGTTTATAAGGTTAACTGGTTTTACCTTTGGCTGCCATGTTCCTCTACTGAGAGAGCTAAATGTTTGCTGACTAGAACAACTTCTTCAGGGCCCTTTAGTCTCCCTCTTCTGGTGGATGATTTATATCAGTTAGACTTACAAAAATGGGATAATCTGTGTTACTGTCTGTTCTTTTATCTACTTCCCATGTTTTGGCATCAACACCTTGTTTAAATAGGCTGGGCTGGAGTTGTCTCAGTTTCATGCTACACATTCTTATTTTTACTCCTAGTTTGATATATTCAAAACAATCAAGGTTAAAACTGAAGGAAAAATATGAACTCAAAAGTACTAGTCTCTAACACTCATGTGACAATCAAATATCTCCTTATAGCACCTTTTGTATCATTTAATTTGTATTATTTAACTGTTTAACTTATTCACGTATTTATGTCTATATTAGAAGCCTCTAAAGACTAATGACCATATCTCGTATGTTACCCATAGTCCATATTGAAGTTCTGGGTTTACTTGGAGGGAGTTCAGTCTTGGGAGATTTTGAATAAAATCATAATTGTTTGTGCTCCAACATGGGGTATTTCCTGGT